GAGCCCTAAGTTCACCGACAATCTTTTGATTCATTCAATGCAAAACTTAATACGAAAAGGTCTTCAAGCACGTGTCTGTTAAGTTATCGGCAGCCTTAAATACGGCTAAATTTGAAACACTGGGGGGCTTTAATCATGGCTCCGTGTAACAGCTTCCCTCCGTCGTGATGGAGTCCTAAGAGCCATGTCAAAATGGTTGTTGTTACTATAATACGTTTCCAACGTCTTAAAGAAACGGTAGGGTTGACGTGGCTGGCGCTGATTGTGTGGCTTGGGATTGCTCACTGCCCGGGGTGCTTCCAATGACGCAAGCAGAACGAGATTAGACGCGAGCATCACAGACGAGAACATAGACGTGAGTGTCATGTCAAGATAGTAGGATGTCGTTGTCAAGATGACCCCAATAAATTTTATGAAAACTGTTGATCATTATCCGAAACCTTATTCATTTTGAACTGTCGATTATTATCCGAAACCTTATTCATTTTGAACTGTCGATTATTATCCGAAACCTTATTCATTTTGAACTGTCGATTATTATCCGAAACCTTATTTTCGTGATGATTTTTTGTTTTATGTTTGTAAATAATCAAACGCTTTGTAAAGACTATTTTTATACAAGCGTGTGTGATTGTGCAAGTTGTGTTGATGGGATGACAATGCTGCGTTCACCTGGAGCAAATAATCTCTACTCCCCAGTTTCTTTGACTATATACTGAAGCACAACTGAGCGGCCGGTGTGAAGTGCTGGTTTGGTGATTTAGGAGCAACCAAAGGGGTGTTGAAAGGGGTTTAGTGTTAGGTCGTACATAGTGTTAAAAGTTTGATGGCTGTGTTAGAAAGATGTGTTGGTTATGGCGTGTTGTGTAAGGTGTGCTGTGTGCAACGTTGATTGAAATAGCTTCGTTGGACGAAATAGGCCAGTGGTTGTGTGTGAGTGGTTGAAAAATGTATGTACAAAAGATTGGTTAGGACACCATTGCTGCATCATATAAGTCCGTAAAGATGGGCTGCCATAATCCTGTTATAAGAGATTGACAAGATGGTAGTATCACGGTTTGATTCTAGGTGGGGGGTGGGGGGGGTGGGGGAGGGCGTGATCGAATCCCACGCTTATAAACATGTACATAATATTTGACACAGTAACCGGGGAATTGACTACAGTTTGTGGCGCCGGGGAGGGGGGTGCTACTTTGCAGCCCCCAATTCATTAAAAAAAAAAACAACACAAGGCATATCTAATACACGTCTTTAAAAAATCTTAATATAAAGTATATGAAGTGGATCGAAAAGGCCGCCCCCACAACCCCCCCTCCCCTCGACCCCCCCCAAGTGACGCCCTGAGAGTATCACTACTCCATCCTGTGTATACTAAGATGACATTAGGTCTCCCATTGTTATAACGGATCAGAAGTTTAGGTTTTCAGGTTCATGAATGTGTTTGTTTGTGTGTTTGTTTGTTTATCTTTCATGAGCGATGATTCTGGTTTCTTCATAAAATATTTTTGTTTTGTTTTTGAATTTTTAAAAAAGACATTTCTACATAATATACTTTTATATATCAAATCAACAGTGTTCTTGAATTATTTTTTTTCTTTTGTTTTTATTTTATTACACAATTGATAAGATTAATGATAATGACAATTAAGAACAATTCTAATTGGTTCATAGAACGCTATATGGTGTATCCATGAATAATGTTCTTAGTCCTACAGGCGATCAAGTTTATAAGTCAAGAGTGATCTAACAGAAGTTAATAGAGCATTATTACATTAATGGCATGTGCAAATCAATCAGTCAATAAATCGTATATTAATGCGTCATCAGTTTAAGTTGATGTGTATGAGAAATGACTAATTTATTAAGGTCACGTAAATATGCGATTAGTTCATCAATAAGTATCATGTATATACAGTTAATATATATATATATATATATATATATATATATATATATATATATATAAAAATATATATATATAAAAATATGAAGATTAAAAGACAACAGGACACATTACGAAAAGAAAAAAAATAGAGTGACACCTAGAGAGAAAAATAAAAANTTTTAAATTTTATTTTGTATAATTTGTATTTATTTTTGTATCTTTGTTTATACTGTTTGGTGGAGAACTCTTCTTGCCAACACACTAGTAGTTATGGTGCGTCTTTCTTTTTTTTTTTTTTCCTTTTTTTTTTTTTTTAAATTCTTTATATTAACTTCGCTTTTGTTCGTGCGTTTAGGGCGAAATCTTCGGACGGCTAATGAACACCTTCCGGTCATCCCGTGGATATGAAACTAGGTTACATAGACCCGTTGCCATTGACAACACATTCTCTCAAATTTTCAGCCCCAAACCCCAAAAATAAGTTTTCCCTATTTATCAAGGGAATGATGAAGGACATATGATTTCACGAAATAAAATTCCCGATAAATGCGCTAAATGAGATTCTTTTTAAGATATATATCGCCAGTGCGATTGGTGCGTAATATTTTTTTTATTGTTTGTTTTTATGAAAAAGTTGGTGAAATAAATATACGGTGTAAAAGCTGTTAAGACATTAGAACATATAATCTAAAATAAAATAATAAAAAATGCATTTAAAAGATTTATACGAAAAACTCTGTTGTTAGGGGTTGTTTAATTAATTTTTCATTCAACTTTCTTCCTACCTTGCTCTAATTATTTCCTTTTTCGTAATAACACAGAATGACATTTTTAAATTATATAAATACGATAAACTTATAAGCTAACATAATTAATGAAATGTGTAAATAATTTGCTAATAATATTGTGCATTTGTCATTCTCGTCATTCCCACAAGCCATGTCAATATGGCGTGTTTGGTGGACACGGTGGGTCCAGGACAGGTTGGGACGATCGCCAGGCCCGTGACGTGGCTGCTCGCCAGTCACGCCCAGTGACGCCATGATCACATACCCTGTCGTCTTGTTCGACCTTGACCGTCCTTATACCGGTGCTGCTGGACATTCGGCCGCCTTGGGGCGAGCCAATTGTGGCTGCGAGTTTTGTGGCCTGGATGTCTGCATAGCTTGGCCACCTATGCGCAGTGGCTGAATTTAGTCTCGGCGGTCCGAGTTCTCTGTCCCTGTGTTTGGTACGGTGATAATCCTTTAACTCTACGACTCTGTGTTGGCTTTCTCTTTTGGTATCCGCCAATTTGGTGGCCAGGTGGTGCCGTGACTTGCTAGACGATGGGGTCAACCTGGCGACGGGCTTTTCCTTCTTAGTGGAGAAAATTTGAGTGGTGGTCGGTCGTGCAGAATTTGACGGTTCACTCGTCGGAACGGAGTAGCGTTTCACTATCGGGAGCCTCTCATTAAGGACATGAACCTTAGGTTTGTCTCTGGCATGCTCACTGCCATTCTCATTAAGTTTGTCTCTGGCATGCTCACTGCCACTCTCATTACGTTTGTCTCTGACATGCTCATTGCCACTCTCAGTACGTTTGTCTCTGAGTTGCTCATTGCCACTCTCAGTACGTTTGTCTCTGACATGCTCATTGCCACTCTCAGTACGTTTGTCTCTGACATGCTCATTGTGTGTCTCGTTGAAATGTACCAACAGCCTCAGCGAGTATTTGCGTGTGATTGTTCTGTTATTCTTCATTGCTTGGGTTTCTTGTCCATTGGCCTGGGGGTGTTTGATTGTGATGATAAAACACGATCTGTTAATCCAACATCAGCGACATGACAATGAAACACAATCAACAACCCTTTTCATTTAATATAACATTATGATACAATGCTGCATCTAAAACTGGATCACATTTCCATTGAGATCATTGTTGCGCAACATTCCCATCGCTAGAAATAATACACTTTTTTTAAACCGTCCATGCAGAGTTCAATAAACTGAAACGAATTGATGATATCTGGGAAAAGTCATTTTGTCAAAAGTCACCAAGTCATGTTCCTTTGATATGTAATATGAGGAAATGAGTGAAAGCCAGACAGTGAGACTGTGCACATGTCTTGTTTCTGTAGAGACTTTATATGTAGTCCGTCATGACTTTTAATTAACCGATAACAAGAAATTGCCACTTGTCACATGTTGGCGAAAGCTTAACTCTGACTCGCCATATCTGTCTGACATTGGGTAAGCCGGCATAACTGTGTCAGAATTTCACAAGTGTTTCCGTCCTGATCCATTTGGACTGCTGTTCAGGCTGTCGAGGACTGCTGTCTAGTGGTGAAGTCATGGATGTCATCAAACAGACTTAAATGAAATGACGATAAGACCGGGGCAATTATCTGTGGTTCTTGCGCCAATCTTCGGAAGGTTCCCATCGCGTCAGTAAAAGTTGTTGCTTCTGAGATCCCCTTGTCCAACACTGTCAGATACTTTGGCTTCTATACTTACAGTTAACTTACAATGATTCTTCATATCAGTTCTGTGGTCAGGGCTTGTTTCTGTCATCTGCGCGCTCTGGGTCAGCTGCTGCTTCCTCCATTTAATAAGAGAATGGGGACATTTTTAAAACCAAAAAAAAGGACATGTCCTTCTTTTGGAAACCATATTATTTCATCTGGCAACCCTATTTTAAAGATGCTAAGATACTAATGCAACGGAGAAATCAATTTATGTTAATATGTGGCCAGATAAACTATAATTGAATGATCTTTGACACGGTTCAAAAAGTGGTTCCCTTAAAAGAATTTCATTATTAATATGTTAAATTTCATTCAAATTCAGATTATAAAAATATTTGTTTTGGGTTGTCCCGCAGACATTTTAATTTTAGTTGTTGTTTTTTTTAATCCATGTATTAATCTAGATCTAAAATGGAACTAAAATGGAATTAATTTGAGGTAGTCATTTTACAGCACAATAGTTAAGTTCGGTCAATAATATTGATTAATTTTTCAAGCTGCATCTTCCGCAGAATTTTTATCGATTTGATGGCTGAAATAGGCTTTGTTTTATTTAAAAATAGGTCAGAGTTTTGTAGTTCCATTTTCCAGTTACAAATTTGTGTAAACAATTAGCCGTTGCCTGTTACCACTTTCGTCTGCTGTGGATTGGGATAAAAATTACTTGTTAATTGAGCTGTTTCTACTGAACATTTTATCTTTCAAAATGAACTGTAAGGTTGTGATAATTCTGTTTTTGGTTAATTTTACGGTAATGCATGCTCAACGAAAGAAAGATCTAAATGAAGAGGAGCTCGCCAAATTGAAAGAACAAACTGGAATCGACCCAAACGAGGTATCTGACGATGCCATAATACTTAGTCCACCCAAGTTGACTGAGGAAGATGAAGGTTCAAAATTTATGCCAGAAGCATATCGATGTGATGCATGCCGCTCAATGTCTTATCTGGTAATAAATTATATTAATATAGTCATATAGTAATTAGTTTGCAGAAAGTGCATAATGGATCATAGTACTATAGTACGCATGCATCTCTACTTCATCATTCACAAAGACTTCAAAGAGTTGGAGTTAGAGCATTTCATTATTAATCATTGGAAATGGCTGAATTTCAGAATTCTAATGACACCAAGATAATCTTTCTAGCAGGGGCGTCATTTCAAGGGGGGGGGAACCAAAGCTTGGTCAGCTTGTTAAGTTGTTTATTACTGGTAGCGCCACAGTAGGCCTACACACTACACAGCAATTTAAATAAAACCTGCAAATTTAGGGGGGTGGGTGGCAAATGCCCCACCCAAATGACATCCTTGCTTTCTAGTTTAATTTATAGGATAAAAGTTATGAAATTTTTAGTGATTTATTTTCCCCCACTATTTAGCTTTGTTATTAATTATTAATTCTAAAAACTGTGATCAAATCATTACTCTTTTTGTACTATTTTGTTTGTATCTTTTTAGCTATTAAATTAGTTAGGAGCTACAATTTGAAGGGGACATTTTTAATAGAATGATAAACCAAAAAAAACATATGAATTGTGAATTAATATATTATGTTTAATAAAATATGATCATAAGGTTCGTTAAAGACATTTCATTTGTCGAAAAGAAAAAATATTTAACATAAAAAATGACATAACTATTAAACCAATAAATCAATACAATAAGGTGTTCAGTAGCCTACTCACAGATAGTGACTAAGCATATCTGAAAAGAATGCAATTTTTAAAGTATGTATAAAGTATAGATAATAAAATTTATGAAATTTTAGAAAAAACATTAAATGAAAATGGACTAGGCCTAGGCAGGGACAAGAAATTTTTACATTCAAATAATAACTTTTAAACTAGTAATGCTACTGCAATGAAATTTTCAGTCCAAACACATAGTGACAATCCAAATGTAATAAAATACTCATAATATTACAAAGAAAATTTAAAACATTGTATATAACATTTAAAAAATTAATTGTGGTTGGTGGTTCTGGCTCCAAAACTCTAACAGCACTTCATCTTCACCCTTTGGTTGATCAAAAAACATCTTCCTCCATCATTACTATCAACTTGGGGTGTTGGTTTATTTCCTCAGGTCGGCAATACACGTCCTCAGGTGTGGAATCTATTGTTTAAAACAAATGAAAGAAACTAAAGAAAATGCCTTCATCATTTAAGCTGTAAAAACAGTAACATAAAACAGACTTAATGAAAAAGCACCACAAAGCAGACATTTTTTTTTAAACCTACCATCTCCAAATGCCAAATTCTTGAGACTTTCAGAGTTCTTTTAAAATGTGGTAATCCAGGATTCATTTAAATTTAAAACTTTTCCAAAGAGACCTATTGTGAAAATGTCAATTAAAGTGCTAAACATAAACTATACAATACTGATAGTGCCAATAATAATAGGCATAGACTGTCTCTTATATATGTTTTCTTTGCCCTATTTTTATACTATAGTAGATCTATACATTTATACACTTTGAATATGAGTAAAGTGAGTATACTTATCACTACTTACTGTCTGTATGTAGGCTATTAGGCTATCTAACTGTCTATAGGGATAATATAGCCCAGATAGGCTAAACTGTAAACAACTAGCCTGGCCCTGGTGGGTGAGTCATATTTATATAAATTGTTACCCACTCCAGTTTAATACTGAAAAAGTTGCTACATTTAAAAATAATTAAATTAAAAGAACACTATTCCTGCATTTTTTTTGTGTACATCAATTTTTTTCAGTTCGTTCAAAAATTTACTAAAGCTGAGGTCAAGAAAAAAGGAGCTAAACTGTCCTACGTGGAAATATTGGAGACTGTGGAGGAACTCTGCCATGATGAATTCAAAGAGTAAGTTGTGATGATCCCAGATTTATTTATTAACTTGTGCTATGAGTGAAAAGCTCATTTTGTTCTGGCGAATTAGGAAACTCGAATTTGAAACTCTATTGTGAGTAAATGCTAGAATCATGAACATATTGATCAAAGTTCTTATAAAAATAATAGTTTCAAAAGTGCTGATTGGTGAATATAGTAATACTTGGAAAAGGTCAAGATTCTGCAGAGCCAGCATATTATCTTCAAAACAGCTTCAGTCCTTAGACAAAATTTTGACATTTCTTTGTCTGAATTTATCAATGTGGCATTGCGAAAATTAGTTGTTTCCAAAAATAGAAGACTGGTGCTTGGAAAAAATCTGATGTCACTTTGTCTTTGCAGGTATGTATTCTGCGATCATATTATTCCAGTCTGGCCACAATATGTAGGGTATATTATATATATTATTATTATTAGTATTAAAGCAGTCTTATATAGCACAGTACCCAAGCCTAGGGCTAGGCTCACCGCGCTTCACATAAAAAATAGGAATTACGGAAAATTATACATTTAAAAACAGCTTTTTCAAAAGATTGACCTCACCCACCCAAGTACTTTCTACCCCTGTCTAGCCATGGGCAGCTCCCAGCAGCATCAAACATTGTTCATCAGTCAAAGTTGGGGGAGGGGGGGGGTTTGAGAATGAGTCGGTATAGTATATACATATGTAGATTTTATTTGGATTGTTGGACAGGGGTCTGAATTATTTTCATGTGTTTGTATGCCAATTCTCTATGGGATATGCATTGTGTAGAATAATAATAATTTAAAAACGGACTAGGACAGCTTAGATTACAAATTTTTGTGTGGATAATATGCGTTTGGAAAATCAACACTACAAATAACTCCTTGAGCAACATCTATTGTTTTAACTCGTTCTCTTAATTGTGCTTGAGACTGCTCTAGCTATACAATGCCTCATTTGTCACTTGTTTACCTTATTGAATCTTTGCAATGGGCTGGTCCACTGTTCCAGTATTAAACAGAAACTCGTCCCTCTCCCCCATAGACAGCGACGAGGCCATGACAGGCAATTCAGGCTCCTAACAGCAAGAAGCCAGTATAGGAGCTGCTCATTCCTGCCCAAGACAATCAGGGACTGGAACAATCTTTCAAAAGGAACAGTTGAGGCGACAACACTAGACACATTTGTGTCTATCGCCTCAAGCCTTCAAACCCCTAGTGCATGATTTCCTCAACACCAGTAACAGAAACTTTGCAAATCCCATCTACATGCATAGGAGCCAAAATGATCAATAAATTGATCGTGGGCCCTTAAGATATAGAAGAAGAAGATTTCTTACTTTATTTTGATAATCGAGTATTTTAAAACCATTTTTTGGAGCCATGGTCACTGCAATCAACATTAGTTATAGAGATTTTTAAAAATAAACAAATATGTCCTGATAAACAGTCGCTGAAACGGTGGAACGTATTTTTCTGGATGAACAAAGATTAAATTTTGCGACAAAAACCATATATGATGAAAAAAAAAGGCTGATGAATGTCAAGGTTCCACTTTACATAGTCATGTCTGTTTGATTAGATGTATTATTATTTTTCATGAAATTGTTTACTTGAATTCAAGGATTTGTTATTTTGCCGGAACCAATATAGACAAAAAATACTTGATGCTTATCATTAATCCAATTCATTTTGATGACATTGATAGAATTGGTGTCAAGAATGTACTTGGACACAATAGATTTTCTGGTCCTGGCCTCAACACTGCTCAGATGTCTGGCATGGTCGATGCTGGGGGTGTATGGAAAAATAGGTATTTGCAGTTCTGAAAGTATTTTAATTCATTTACCATTACCTTACAAAATATAAAGCTTATCCTCATTATTTTGTTCCAAATGTGATATGCTGTGATTAAATATATATTTATTTATAAGCTGCCTCATCAAAGTGGTGTATCCTATGTAATCCTTAGTAATGTGAGACTCGCTTAATTCAGTTTTAATGAATACTTTGTCTTCTAGAATGCAAAAACTATGTGAGGAACTGGTTGGTGAGTTTGAAGAAGATGGAATATATGCCATGTGGGATGATCCCGAGATGTCTTTTGAAGCTGATCTGTGCAGCAGCTATTGCAGAAATCAAAGACGTGCAAATACAGAACTTTGACATGGACATATGCACTTGTATAACTGTTATTCTAAGTTTTAGATTTTTTTAATATGCATTTGGTACTTATCAAAGTTCTAAGGACTTTAAATTTGTATAATTTTTAGAAAAGTAGTTTTTATAAGATTACCATGCAGCAAGATTGTTTGCCACATGAAAATTGACTTTAGATTTTAAAAATTTTCAGCATGTTGCCTTCTTTACATTCCTTTTTAATGACTGTTGTTATTTTCTATTATTTTTTGCTTTAAACGTATTGAGGACTACTTCAAATTTTAATTATTTTAAGATGTTCAATTTTTGCACAATACATTATTAAATATTTGTTCCAATCTTCCAATCTAGTCAATGTTTTAAAAAAAAATGAATTTGTTTGGACTTTTTAGTTACTGAATTATTAAGTATTGATAATGTATGCTAAGCTACTGAATGCTCTATGAATAGATATGTGCTATATTTTATGTTGTTTTTCCTCGGAGTCATATGCAATGAGAGTGCCTTTGGAGCAGGCTTGATAAATCAATATTTATTTTTGTAATTTAGTTCTGTGTAATTTTTATCAATGAGAAACAGCTATGCCATATTGATATTTGTTATGAACCATCATATAGTTATGACATAAACTCCTAAGTTGTAGCCAACATATTCATATGTTTAATCCTAACTTAATATTTCATATTATGAAAACTTAAAATACAATTACACTTTAACTTTAATTATTCTCTGTTGCTTTGTCGATGCACAATAATTTATTTATTTTTAAAAATTTCTATATCATTAATTGTCTTAATCAATAATCTGTGATATTTATTTCTCTTCAGTTTTTTAATGGCTAGCATTTTTAACAGTATTTTTTCATTTGAAAACTAAATGTTAAATATTTTTTAATTTAATGTTTGGATATTGATATTTCCTTTAATGAATAAATAAAAACTATTTTTCTTGAGTTGAATATATTTTTATGAGATTATTTACAGTAGCTTGTTTGAAAATGTTTTTCTGTTGTTTTTTTTTTTTTTGTTTTTTTTTACAGAGGTTCATGTTTTACAAAGTATCTGCCCTTTCAAACTATAGGTTAAGCAATTAAAAACATTACACCCCTAAACTATTTTTCTTGAGTTGAATATATTTTTATGAGATTATTTACAGTAGCTTGTTTGAAAATGTTTTTCTGTTGTTTTTTTTTTTTTGTTTTTTTTTACAGAGGTTCATGTTTTACAAAGTATCTGCCATTTCAAACTATAGGTTAAGCAATTAAAAACATTACACACCTAAGTATAAGATCAAAATTAGGAGTTGTAGGTTCTATGGCTTTAGGTAAAAGCTAATGAACTGTTTTAATTTGGATATTTGACAAGATAAAGGGGAGAGAATTTACATCTGAAATAAAAAACCATTTTAAAAGCTATAAATTTACTGCAAACAATTAACAAGTTTGAAGCAACAAGTCATTTAGTTTGAGTATACTTGATCACCAACTTTACAAGAGTATTTTGTCTAGGACTTGACATGGGAACAGGATACATTGTAAATGCACTCAAAGTTCTCTGACAACACAAAGCTTCTTAAAACTGGCGTGTGTAGATAGATCTGAGTTTTTGAACCAGGCTGCTGGACTCGGTCTTGGGAGCTTGCAGACATTCCTGGGGAGGGATGAACAGTTCAGGATCAACGATTCCCTGGACGAGGTCGTAGATGCGGGTGGTCAGTGTCTCGTTGTTGCGGCCGTTGATCAGGAAGGTGCGCACTGGGTAGCAGTTCAGTCTGCTGAACACACCAATCCAAGTCTCTCCTGGATTAAAAAAACAACAAAAAAACAATCTTTGTGAGAAGAAAAGCATTCATTTTAGAGCATTCGATGGAACCAGGAGTGTATTGATTAATATAGAAGAATTTTTCATACATAAACAGAAGAATTATTTATTTCAACACTATTTTAGGGTTTCGAATGTCTAGTACTAGCGCTATAGCAAGCTGGGGTGTTGTTTTTTGTTGAGCCTTCTCGTCCATGAGGGGCATCCACCGATCATCGTCGGCGTCTGCGGTTCCTCCAAGGGCATAGGCCACCTACGAGAGACCTCCAGGCATCTCTATCCTGGGCCAGCTTCTCCAGGATCTTCCATTCATGGCCAATTTTCTTGATGTCTGTCTCCAATTCTCGGCGCCAAGTGTTTCTTGGACGGCCTCTTTTCCGCTTACCCTGTGGGTTCCATTTCAGGGCTTGCTTTGTTATGTTAGAAGCAGGTTTTCTTAGTGTATGACCAATCCACCTCCACCGCTTCTGGAGAATCTCTTCCTCAATGGGTTTCTGTTTTGTCCGCTGCCACAGTTCCTGGTTGCTGATTTTGTCTGGCCAGTGAATTCTGAGAATCCTTCTTAGACAGTTGTTGATGAAGGACTGGATTCTGGTCAGGTTTACGGCCGTTGTTCTCCATGTCTCGGCTCCATATAGCAGCACAGGTTTTACCATAGCGTTAAAAATCCTTACTTTTAACTTGCTGCCTAAGTTGTTAGAGACCCAAACATTCTTGAGTTGTTGGAAGGCTGCTCTTGCTTTTCCTATCCTTATTTTGACGTCCGCATCTGTACCACCTTGTTTATCTACCATGCTGCCAAGGTAAACAAAACTGTCCACCTCCTCAAGGGCTTCTCCTTCAAGCATAATGGGTGATGTACTGGTGGCATTAACCTTGAGGATTTTACTCTTCCCTTTGTGAATGTTGAGACCCATGCTAGCAGAAGTGGCTGCGACAATGTTTGTTTTCTCCTGCATCTGTTGTTGGGTATGTGCAAGAAGTGCAAGATCATCAGCAAAGTCAAGATCATCCAGTTGATCCCACAAGGTCCATTGGATGCCATTCCTTTTCTGCTGTGTAGATGTTTTCATCACCCAGTCAATGGCTAACAGGAAGAGGAATGGTGACAGCAAGCAACCTTGTCTCACACCAGTCTTCACCTGGAAAGCATCTGTCAACTGCTGGCCATGGATAACTCGGCAGTTTATCCCTTCGTACATGTTTCTGATTATATCAGTAATCTTCTGTGGCACCCCGTAATGCCTTAGCAATCTCCACAGGGTTTGCCTGTCAACACTGTCGAAGGCTTTTTCATAGTCAACAAAGTTGACATAGAGCGGCGAGTTCCACTCTAGTGACTGCTCTAGAATGATGCGCAGTGTCGCTATCTGGTCCGTGCAGGATCTGTTGGTGCGAAAGCCGGCTTGTTCGTCCCGCAACAGAGGGTCTACAGCGTTTTTCATCCTTTTCCAGCTAGCTATTATCACCTATTGGCTTGCGTTATTTATAGTTGAATGGGATGACAGACTTTGATTGGGTATGCTCGTTTGTAGTTTTTGAAGTGTTGCGTTTCGTGTTTCAATGTGGTAAAATATAGATTGTTTCATTTCTCTTTTAATATGGTTGACTTTGTGCAGCGCTTCGAGCCTTCTGGGATGAAGCGTGGATTTAAAAAAAAAAAACAAAAAAAAAAACTTTATTATTATTATGTTATTATTAAGCTAGTAATTAGTGTTAAGTACTTTCTGATACATGAACACATGTCATTTATTTTACAGTGTTGTCCTCGACCGTTCACAGTTGGCTGAACCCCAACAATCCTTGATATTTCTCTTGCCTAACAAATTCAGAACGATCTTTTGAACTACAGCTGATTATGATATGTTGGTAATGACTACGCGGGCATTAGAGCTCTCACGACCCTGCCCGAATTGGGGCCCTTAAGAGTTAAAACACTGTACCGTATGGTATGTACTTACTGCGTGTGGCACTTCTGTCGGACCACTCGACAGCCTCTAGTTCCTCCCCTGGACCACCAACGTAGTACTCGGCTTCAAATGTGGCATTTTCTGGCACAGAGAATGGGAAGAATGGGCCAGCATCTCCTCGCTTGCACACTTTGGTCTGACGGTTGTACTCGTAGGCAATGTTCTCCCTGTGCAGGATGATGATGCGGTAGTACCTGGAGACAGAGAAAGGGGGGGGGGATAACTTTATTATTGTATACATGATTATGGTTCATGAAGGGGATGATCAAATGGTGGTACTACGACATCAGTAGTCGGTAGTTAAATCAACGCTAACTTGTAGAAAGAAAACAAAAAGAATCTTAGACTGTTACATGTGTGTGCGTGTGTGTGTTCGTCTTGATTCTGTCTTTCCATGATGATAATTGATCAAAAGAGGTACCTTAAGTTACATAGATGACATAATGAGTGATAGGCATAATGAGACTTTGAAGTCGGGTAAGAGGTTTGTGTTTGTCGTGTCTTACCCGCTAACTGACTTGGTTTTATATATATATTTATATAAATATATATATATATATATATTATATATATATATATAAAATATATATATATATATATATATATATATATATATATATATATATATNGATCATTTTGACTCCTGCTTCGAATTCACAGTTTGCCTCCTATGAGATGAGTTTCCGTCCAAGGCTAACGAGTCCCATCCACCCAGGGTGTTTTGGGATGTTGGCTTTGGTGGCGGATCTCCAACATAGTATGTCCCACGATGTATCTCACACACGCGTCTCACCATGGATCTCAGTTTATCATTTGCTCAAACTCATTTAATTGCTCAGTTTTAACACATCTTACCTATAAAACACTTACATGAAACTGTGCTGTGTTTTTTTGAAAAAGAGATATGTTATAAAAGTGCAACATGGATTGAGCAGAGCATCAGCTCACACCCTCTAGCTATCAGTTGTTCCTACTGATATAATAATAATACGAGATTAAAGGTTACTTACTGTCTGCCGGGGGTGGGGCCTGACTCTTCTACTTCATCAAAGGCGATCTTCTCTCCCATGGCATCGTACTCAGCATCAAAACGGCGGAATGTTGTGAACTCATGGTTGTACTGGTGGGCACGGAACTATGGGATACAAAGGATGTTTATACAAATACTGTTGATCCCCATGTCACATAGTGCCGAAACGATGGAAATTATAAAGGAGGCGGGGGGGGGAGGGGAGACGGCGCTATCAGTAAGTACAAATTGATGTGCTGCAATGTGATGTAATGGAGTCGGTCTACGAACAGCAATAACCGATTATATTTGGATCATCTCGGGTTTATGTTACAATATAATAATTAATTCAGCCTTCCACAAGTGTGTCATAGTAGACTTGGAAATACAAGGGAATAAATTAAAACAACTGGTGGAACAGAAAAACGTGTCTTTAAAAAAGATGAACTGGAAATTCTATCACCAATGTTTTCATATAACTTGAACTAAACTTTATTGGAAAAGTTCAGATGACATTGCAGTCATTAGAGCAAAGTATTCAAGCATGCCAACAATTTAGGAAATAGGCTAATGAGCGTACGAACTGGTCCATTTTCTCAGAGCTTTAGAATATTTTGTATTGCCGTTTTTTTTTTTTGACGGTTTGAAATTAAAGAGTGCATAGAAGTAAGCCACGTCCATGCTTTGGCTATAAGTAAGCAGTTTACGACTACTGACCAGATGGACGTGATTGAATCCAACATAATTCAAGTATATTCTGTATATCGCCCTGAATCGGGTAACAAATTAATCAACTCCTAAAAAAAACTACAGCTGGTTATATCCAACTTTTGCTTAACAAACATATTATTAGCTAGTTATACATTACTAGAGATAAGCAGTGGGAAATAAAACAACTATAGTAGTAGTAGGCATGGGCGCCCGCAGAAAACTTTCGGGGGGGGGGGTAAAAAAATCGATTAACTTTCCAGGGGGGGGAGCAAAATTTTTTTAGTAATTTTTTAATGTAGTTTTAATTTACTGTAGCGTATTTGTATGGTGAACGAACGGACAGGACATCAGCTTAGTACTTTCTCTTTATTTTCTCTTTACTTTAATACATTTTTTGTCTATTTTTGTCTAAAAAAATTGTATCCAATCAATCCAGGGGGGAGGGGGGGGAAAGTGCCCCCCTTGCCCCTACCTGCGGGCGCCCATGGTAGTAGGCTACGAAGTGACCAACCTCTCAACTAACCTTAACATTTTTTTTAAAAATTCATTAATAGGCAATAACAAATACAACTATAAAAAAACTCTTTTACTGTTTAATTCAGTTTAAAATATATTTTTGATTCAATTAATTTTTTTCCCGGGATGAGGTAAACTTTACTCCCGTTTTCCCGGAAAAAAACGAAACACCGAGAGACGCTAGCTCCGTCACATCAAGGGCAAATAATATATCATGTATGTGTCTAATTTTAGAGCAAAAGAGAGAGAGGGAGAGAGAGACAGTCTCTAAGTTGATTATGAATGAATACTTTTATAGCGCTTGTTTTCCGCAATTTAGGCGTAATCGCTTCAAAGGAGCGCACTCACATGACTTCTTTCTGTCCAATCTTTCACATATCATGCATTACTATTTATAAAAAATGACATAGAAAGCATCATAATATAAGTCTATCTAACGTATGCCTGTGTGTAATAACATTCTGACTGAAGACAGCATCTTACCGTGAGTTGTGGGGGAGAGAAGCAGTGGTGAGGGATCTGCCCGTAGACGAGGGCGGCACCGAGCAGGGTCAATGCTAGGACGTTCAACATGTTGTTGGCTTGCTGGATGTCTGACTGAGGACGGCTGGATGGCGGAGTGAGACGAGGATCGCTGGCCACGGGTCATATACATCGCTCAGACCTATCACACAGATCTGGTCACATGGTGAGTTCTATCAAGTGGTTGTTATCGCTGATACCACATGTGGGCCTTGGCACCTTGTCTTCATAGACGCATTTCGTTTTCCAAATTTTTTTTTTTTTTTTAAAGCTGTGGTGATGGTTTTTTTGAAGAGGTTCCCAAAGTGGGGGCTTAAGAAGAAAGTCTACATCTGATCTGACGACAGCCTTTATATAACATGTGCATGGATCTTTTTTCTTCTCCTCCATATTTGGGGGCACACGATCGATTTATTGATCATTTTGACTCCTGCTTCGAATTCACAGTTTGCCTCCTATGAGATGAGTTTCCGTCCAAGGCTAACGAGTCCCATCCACCCAGGGTGTTTTGGGATGTTGGCTTTGGTGGCGGATCTCCAACATAGTATGTCCCACGATGTATCTCACACACGCGTCTCACCATGGATCTCAGTTTATCATTTGCTCAAACTCATTTAATTGCTCAGTTTTAACACATCTTACCTATAAAACACTTACATGAAACTGTGCTGTGTTTTTTTGAAAAAGAGATATGTTATAAAAGTGCAACATGGATTGAGCAGAGCATCAGCTCACACCCTCTAGCTATCAGTTGTTCCTACTGATATAATAATAATACGAGATTAAAGGTTACTTACTGTCTGCCGGGGGTGGGGCCTGACTCTTCTACTTCATCAAAGGCGATCTTCTCTCCCATGGCATCGTACTCAGCATCAAAACGGCGGAATGTTGTGAACTCATGGTTGTACTGGTGGGCACGGAACTATGGGATACAAAGGATGTTTATACAAATACTGTTGATCCCCATGTCACATAGTGCCGAAACGATGGAAATTATAAAGGAGGCGGGGGGGGGAGGGGAGACGGCGCTATCAGTAAGTACAAATTGATGTGCTGCAATGTGATGTAATGGAGTCGGTCTACGAACAGCAATAACCGATTATATTTGGATCATCTCGGGTTTATGTTACAATATAATAATTAATTCAGCCTTCCACAAGTGTGTCATAGTAGACTTGGAAATACAAGGGAATAAATTAAAACAACTGGTGGAACAGAAAAACGTGTCTTTAAAAAAGATGAACTGGAAATTCTATCACCAATGTTTTCATATAACTTGAACTAAACTTTATTGGAAAAGTTCAGATGACATTGCAGTCATTAGAGCAAAGTATTCAAGCATGCCAACAATTTAGGAAATAGGCTAATGAGCGTACGAACTGGTCCATTTTCTCAGAGCTTTAGAATATTTTGTATTGCCGTTTTTTTTTTTTGACGGTTTGAAATTAAAGAGTGCATAGAAGTAAGCCACGTCCATGCTTTGGCTATAAGTAAGCAGTTTACGACTACTGACCAGATGGACGTGATTGAATCCAACATAATTCAAGTATATTCTGTATATCGCCCTGAATCGGGTAACAAATTAATCAACTCCTAAAAAAAACTACAGCTGGTTATATCCAACTTTTGCTTAACAAACATATTATTAGCTAGTTATACATTACTAGAGATAAGCAGTGGGAAATAAAACAACTATAGTAGTAGTAGGCATGGGCGCCCGCAGAAAACTTTCGGGGGGGGGGGTAAAAAAACCGATTAACTTTCCAGGGGGGGGGGCAAAATTTTTTTAGTAATTTTTTAAT